TAATAACATAAATCACATAAAAGCTACCCTAAAAAAGTATATTTTAAGAGACGATTTAAAAACACTAAGGGATTCTGCATTCCTAATCTCAGAGGGCAGGGAATTCCACAATTTAGGAGCCAAAGAAGAGAAAGCCCGATCACCCATAGTTTTTAGCTGAGTTGTTTGAACAGTTAAAAGACCAGCTTCAGAAGAGCGTAGAGCACGTGTAGGGGGTTAAAAACTTACACAAATATTGAGGAGCCAAATTATTCAAGGCCTTATAAGTGAGCATGAGAATTTTAAAATCAATATGAAAACTGACAGGAAGCCAGTGCAATTTTTCCAAGATAGGTGTGATGTGCTCCCTTGCACTGGTCCTAGTCAGATGTAACATGAAGCCTGGCACGAGCTTATGATGTTCTGGGAGCGTTTTTCTCACCACCTCTCAGAATCCCAACAAACCACCAACTGGGAGGGTCCCTGGAGCAGGGTCGGAGGTCGCCGCCTTTCAAGATGGGCTTGTCCAATGAGAAAGATGGAAATTCCGAGCGGGAGGTGGCAATTGCTGGAGGGTTTACGACCCTTTGTCTCTAAGCATGGTAATTTGCAAATGGACTTGAATCGAAATTACTAAAGGTTCTCAGGACCCTAATATATTATACTATTATTATAATATTATAAACATCTGAGACTGAATGTAAACAAGAGGAGCTATTGAAGGAGAACATCTGAGCAATAAAATACACTATTTTTCAAAGGTTGGGAGTTGATATGATTTTGTTTTTAAAGAAATCACTTATGTTCATCAAGGCTGCATTTATTTGGCCAAAAATACAATAAAACAGTAATATTGGGAAATATTACAATTTAAAATAACTGTTTTCTATGTTAATATTTTTAAATAATTTTTTTAAATAATAAAAAAAAAAGTTTCTTCCCCCAGGCAATCTACAATACCTCATGAACAGTCAAATGCTCTCCCCATTGTGCAATACCACTTATATTTGATACCACCTTACATCGAAAGGCCAATTCACACTGCACCGACAAACGCCAACAGACACGTTGGCCGCTGGATTTAGAATTTTATGAAAAATAACTGTCATGTTCACACTGCCCCAACAGACACCAACAGACTTCAAGTCAGGGAGACTTAACAAGGGGGAAAAATGGATGATCTTGTAACAACAATCAAAATTATACTGTTATTAATGTCTTTGGTAATATTGTAAGGCAGTTTTATTATAATAATAATATATTGTCAAATAAATTTCTGTTGTGAAATTTCCCAAGCGCTGTAGCGATCGACCCTCGCCTTGCGGTTGGTATTCTCGGCCACACCCACCACATAAAGCTCTGGCCTCTCCGCCCAAAGATCCAAAAACTGTTCCTCTTTCTGGTTTGTCCAGAAACCTGCCATTTTTAAAGTTATTTTCCCAAGCGCGCCCAGCACCTACTTGCAGTCTTGCCTCATTGTCATGGCAACGGTTCGTGGCTAGGTCAGATTACGTCAGAGTTTGTTGGAAAATCAAATCACACTGCTCAGACATTCCACGACCCAACAAACGGCGATTAAACATGTTCAGTCGGGTTAAAACCAGCTCCGACCAACGGCAACAAACGCCGACAGGGGTAACGCACTGATCCAGCAAACTCCGACAGACTAGTCTGTTTGCGTCTGTCGGCGTTTGTCGGTGCGGTGTGAATTGGCCGTTTAGTCTATCCCTACATCTTATTCTATTCTATTCCATCTATAGCACACTTGTACATATAACCTTTGTCTATTTTAGTTTGTTTATATATGTATATACATATGTGTATTTTATTAGAAAACCTATATATATGTGTGTGTGTGTGTGTGTGTGTGTGTATATATATACATATTTTATTCATATATCTTTATTTTCTTATTATCTGCATGTTTTTGTTGTCTCTGTATACTGGAAGCTTCTGTCACCAAAAGAAATAACTTGAATGTGCAAACATACTTGGCAATAAAGCTCTTTCTGACTTCTGACTTACAATGAAGGGACTAAGCTGTATCTCCGGACCAGAATGTCATAGTGGTGGTCTCTTTTGATTTTGACACTTTTGGACCAGTAGGCATATACAGTGGGTACGGAAAGTATTCAGACCCCCTTAAATTTTTCACTCTTTGTTATATTGCAGCCATTTGCTAAAATCATTTAAGTTATCCCACTGTATGTATATATATATATATATATTCAGTGAATATATTATATTAGGTGGGGTAAGCGAATCAATAATCATATAACAAGAGGGGCAGGGTTAAGACAATAGACGGGGGAGCACATGGCACAAACAAACAAACAAAACAAAGTCATGTGCCCTCACGAAACATAACACAAGAACAGGTGCCAAATGAGAGCTCTCACTGACCACATGTCCAAGACAAGAGCACAGTGAGAGACTGAACACTCAACCTGTCCACTCAAAAGGAAAGACAAATCATGGAGCATGAATATCCGAACCCCAGCACTGAACTGAAACTGAACTAGGCAGAAGTTCTGGGTTCCAAACACCATGCTCTGCGCATATAATATCACATGGACAAGAGAGCGCACAGCCAGTGCACACTCACACAAAGACAATAATGCATGAGTTCTGTCACCATACTAAGAACAAACCCGAAGTGACATAACCCTGACACTCTTAACTTCACAGTCATTATTATTGGTTATGTTCAGAAGGTATTGGATGAACAACAGCAGTTAGCTTAACACAACCAAGACTTCTTTTGAAGCACCTTTACCAACAATTGTCATGACATACAGTTAAAAAGTTTGGTGTAAGATTTTTTAAATGTTTTTGAATGATATCTCTTATGGTCACCCAGGCTGCATTTATTTGATCATAAATACAGTAAAAACAATAATATTGTGAAGTATTATTACAGTTTAAAACAACTGTGTGGCAATCAGAGAGGGGCTGAGAGCCGTGGAAATAGAGCGAGGCCTGTGGCCCGAGTGCTAATGAGTGACACCTATGTGCCACACTCGTGCCTCCAGTTCCACAGAGGAGCTCCGGAAGGATGTAAGGAGGAGTGATAACAGTGGAGTGAGAGAGAGGACCAGGACTGCCATTCTGTGTTTTGTGTGTGCAGCAGTTGGCCACATTTTTTTTCAGGATCCTTTGAATAGAAAGAAAAGTATTTATTTGAAACAGAAATGTTCTGTAACATTATAAATGTTTGTAGGATACTGTCACTTTTGATCAATTTAATGCATCCTCACTAAATAGAAATATTTGTATTATTATTTTTAAAAATCTTACAGACCTTCGAGCGGTAGTGAATATAAACTCAACTTAAATTTGATTGTCTGTCCCTACAAATTTTTTTAAGAGGCAAAACAGCCCTTCAGGCACAGACGCATGCTTGTTGGCAGATCCAGGCATGTTGGAGAGGTTAGAGAGGTTTGAGGTCCAAAGAGATACAAAAAAACAAACAAAAAACAACAACTGGGCCTTAACTTGACTGATCTTCTACTGTCGGCTTCTGAGGTGTCCAAGTGTTTTACTCCAATTCCTTCCTTTCAGGTGAAGATTGAGCTGTGCCACAGGTAACATTTTCCAAGTAGCTTCCTATGCTATAGCTACTTTCCCCTTCTCAGTCCCTTCACTGTTATCTGTCTGCTCATGAGAAAGTCAAAATCTCCTCACCTGCTAGAATCCAGAAGCTACTTGGTTTATTCAAGAAGAAAGCCAGCTCTACAAAAATAAAATAATAACATGCAGTTTGCTCCAGTGCAATGTTTATTAGCATTTGTGTTTTTTAGCTTGATTTGACTTGAAAAGACCCCAGGCTTCATGACTTCATTAGGATGCCTGAGAGAATACCAAGTGTGTATGGCAGAGCCTAAGCAGAGGGTGGATAGTCTTTAAGAAGTCTGAAAAATCACTTTTGATTTGTTTAGCCTTTGTTGGTCACTACATTATTCTCATACATCCATATGTGTTTTGATTCCAAGATATTTTCAGAATAAAACAACCTTATAAATATTCATGATATTAAAGAGAGAAGTCATCAGTAAGCTTTGATAATGTTTTACATTTGGGATGTGAAATCCCTTTTAATTCAGTTCATTGGTCTGTAAATACTTTATGGCCATTAACCACAGAGATTTGTCATGGTAGTGAGCTAATAGCTTCATTAAAGTGCAGCTGTCCAACTATAGCATACAGCCAGTCAGCTGACAGTAGTGAAAGGTTGTCATTTAGTCACACTTCTACTGTCCTGAAGAGTTTCTGTCATTTGACACTAACAATGTGTCATTTTAAAAGAAGTTAATGAGCTAATTATTCTAAAAGAGGATTCATGATGATGAGTACTTTTGTAGAATATAACAGAGTGGACGTAAAGGTGACAGTTCACCTTTTCTTTCTTCTTTGGAGCACAAAAGACGATTGTTTTTTTATATATATACAGTCAAAGTCAATGGGGTCCAATTCTGCTTTGACTTTAAAAAGGTGAAATATTCGTTCATATTTTTTTAAGTTCCAAAGAAGGAACAATGTCATACAGGTTTAGAATAATTTAGAGGGTGAGTAAACAGAATTTTCCATTTTTGTTTAGATATCCCTTTAATTTAAGAAAATGTATACTTCAAATTTGTCTCTGAATCTGCACTTTTATGCCCGATTATGTCATGCACTGATGCAGTGTGTTTAAACAAATATTAGCACATTAGAGATTCTTTGGTTTGATCTAAAGAACCCCATGTGATTGTACTGATTGTCCCAAATCTGCAAACTAAACAAAAGCATCTTGGTTTGATTTGCTCTTATGTCAGTCTGAACTGAAGCATCTTAACAGAGCACTGTTTTTCACAGTCTTGGTGGCTTCCAACCGAGAGTAGGACATAGGTTTGTCACAGCTAAAGTATTGCTTCCCAGCCAGTTTGTTTACTGAATAACTTGGGACATTTGGCTCTATTTAATCGAAACTGCCATGTTGTGATATGAGTGTTGACTTTTTCTGCTCCGCTCTTCATTTTCAGATGGGTTGTAAAGTGACCGTCTTGCTGTTCATCTATTTCCTGGCTACAAACTACTACTGGATCCTGGTAGAAGGCTTGTACCTGCACAGTCTCATCTTCATGGCCTTCTTGTCTGATTCAAAGTACCTGTGGGGCTTCACTTTGATCGGGTGGGGTGAGTATGTCATGGTAGTGATTTTCTTGGAAAAGGCAATTTATAAATATTCCCGCTTCTGTTGGGTTTCCTGGGAAATGAAATGCTGCTGCTGGTGGTTTTGCTCTGCCTGGGTATCTAGTTTTGTTCATGGACAGGTGCATGACATGTAATTGTACTCTCGTCAAAGAACAAGGCCAATATTTTTTTGTTTTATTATTTTCACTTGTATTTTCATTTTTGGCCTATAGCTGGCTGCTGTTGTATAGTGGCTATTGTGTGCATGTGTGTGACTCAGAGACACAATAAGCAATATGCTCACCAAAGCTACATTTATTCAATAAAATAGCTACAGGCAAAAAAAAGTTTTTTTTTGGATTTTAGTTGATTTTGAGATTTTCACAAAAATTATTATTAACAATATTATTATCGTTAAGCCCTCGTCTAGCGATCCCAATGCTCCAAATAATAATTTTAGATGTTTAATTACCTTTATTTGTACGGTTTCTGAGAGGAATACCTTTTCTTCGTTCACTTCTCACGCTGACGGTCATCCAAAGCGTGCACATAAAGGCGCTTTCGAATGTGCGCGATCCTGATAAATATACACATATACACAGAATTACAGTATTTAAGTATTTACGCAAACATAATCTGTTATGCCTTAAGTGAACGTTTGGGGAACTGTTGGGGAAAAACATCTGATGTGTAACATTCTATTAGATCCGTGCAGTACAGTAGGTCTTAATATGTAGGCCGCCTCATTAATGTTAATCCAACAATAAAAAGAAAAGAGGGAATTAGGGCTGCATAAATCGAAATGGAATCGAGATCGCGATTCGACAGAAGCTGCGATTGTCATGCGTATCTTTCAGTGAAGCACGGTTCTGTGATCAGCAGTAAATCTCCATCCAAAGGCCAGAGGGCGCTCTCGTGCTGAAACTCCAAATACGCCTTGCAGAAGAAACCCAGGAAATGCCTATTGCTGCAGCTGAATAAACAGAAGATTCAACTGCTTTCACTGATTCAACGTGACTAATAAACACACGACTACGGCAATATACGGTTTATCTGAGTTCTTATTATTATAATTTTCATTAAAATAAAGTATATTTTTAATGCAATACCTTTATCACTGCTTAAATACTATGAAATATGTTGCGTGCCTTATTCTGTGTAAGAAGCCACATCATCTCACAGAAGGATTTATTTCAAACACTCGACTGACGTTATGAAGTGAGTTTGGAGTAAAAATATGTTATTAAATGTGGTATTTTTACATGCTTTCCGATGGAGCAGCATTTACTTCACAGAGCCGTAGTTCACTGAGAAGCTATGCAAACAGCTGTCATTATCGCGAACGTTTTCTTCGATTTCAGAATCGCGCAATAAAATCGTCTGTGATTTTGTTGTGTAACTTGTCAGTGAACTACGGCTATGTGTAGTAAATTCTGCTCCATCTGAAAGCACGTGATGATGATTTCCTGCTGATTACAGAACCGGCATTACTATCAAAATGCGCATGACAATCGCATTCGATTAATCGTGCAGCCCTAGAGGAAGCCCACTTGCTGCTCTTGATTGAGCTGCTTTTGTAGTTTTAATAATCAATTTATTTGTAATGAACACACTAAATAGATTTTTACATTTGATTATTTGTTTTTCTTACTTGAATGTGTTTGTTTAGATTTAAAATGAAAAAGGTAATGCATTATTTGTTTCTTTGTTATATTTGTTCTACTTTGTTTGCATCTGTTCTTATATATAATAACAAAGATAAAATAAAAAATAGCTATATTGTGATTAATAATTATTATTAAGAAAAGAACTGGAGGAAAAGATGCAACGCTGCAGGTGATTTTGCTTTGGAACCTTCTTCAGAAAATCTAACTATATTTTTCTCAAAATTGACTTTGCTGACTCTATTGACTTCAAACAGGTGTAGCATTTTTCGTCCAATTCCAACAAATCATACATCATTCTGAAGGTATTTTGTCTGAAGGAGAATGTGAATATAAAAATAACTCCATTTTGAAAATTTGCTCATTGTGACTAATTTTCACAAATTATAATATCAGTACTCAATTCAAGCTTGTAGAAATCAAAGTTTGAACTTATAATTATATTTTACTGGGAATTGTTATGATACTGGTGTTCCCATGATGCACTGTGGCATGAATAATTAATATGGTTGTATTTTTCAATGTTTTTGAGTTGTATTACATTGTTTTATGGTTGCTTTTGTTGTTAGGTTTAATAACAAGGTTTTGCTGTTTTGTGACAGCAAGTTAGAACAGCATTTATTTGAAATCTTTTGTAATTTTATAAATGTCTTTACTGTCACTTGTCAGTTTAAACTTAATCAGTTTAACCCAGAGCAAACCAACAATGAGGACCCTGGAGAGAAAGAGCAAGCAGAACAAGAAGAGGTGTATAGTATACTGATAATAGGGAGGAAGAACACAGAGTAGCGACACAAACAGAAGAGTCACTCTAATTGTCCATATGTATCTTGATCTGTCCTTGACAAATACTGGACTCGAGTTCAGTATACATTTTTTTTTCTTTTACATTATTACACAGTGTTCCTTCTACTATATTCTCCATTTCTGGATCAAGTGGTGGAGTTCTTCTCTCCCTGAAGATAGAATGTGTACTGCAGCTGCTCAGACAAAGTAACTCCAATCAAAAGAAGCCTGCAGCGATATTGAGCCACATGTATGCTATGCAACATTCACACTGCTTTTTTATTTATTTTTTCTGTAGTTTTCTTTAGCTTGAGAAAACAAAGTTTCTCTGCTTAAAAAAATGAGAGGCTTCAGAAATATGTATGTCATGGTTGCACTACTGAGTGGAGTGCGGAGCAAGGAATGGAGGGAGACGAGGAGTACATCAATCCAGAGAAGTTTATTGCCATACAGGAAACACAGAAAACTCATGTAGCACATGTAGACCTGGACAATACCAGACGCTGAACTAAACACTATTTAAGCACATGACATGACCAGGGGATGACTAGACACACCTGGGATCAATGGAAATAAACGGGGAACACCTGAAATTAAATCAACATAATCAGGACAAGAACAGGAAACTAACCAAATATGGGCAAGGAGGGCACATGGGGAGCAAAACACAATCAAAGCACAGAACAAAGTCTGACAATGTACATATACAGAAATCTACAGAGTCACTTAGGATCAATAGATCTTCCTTGGGGAACTAAACATGGTTTTTCAGTATTAAAGCAGTGTGTATATAGTAACTAAATATGTAATCAGTAGGAAATACTAATAGTTTTAATTTGAATAATGGCTGGTGATAAATGTGTTAGCTGACAAAAACGCAGTACTTCATAATAAAATGACATTGTACTGTTTTGCTAAATGAAGAGTTTGTTTTGAGAGTATTGACTTTAGTTTAGAGAAATGTGTCAAATCAAGTGAGGAAAAAACCCTTTTATTCTTTGACCCAATCACAGTGTAATACACAGTAATACAAACCACACAGGAAATGCCATTTACTATATTTAATGAGCTCTGAATATTGAATATCCCATGTTCAGCCTGCTAAATCCTGACAGTGATACAATAACTTACAAGATGTTTGCGAACTAAATATTAACAAGGTCTCATTCCATCATTCCTAATTACCTTTCCCTTTTGCACAGTGACTAATCTTATTAAAATGACAGAACAACTGTCTTAACTGCTGACAGCAGAACCATTCTCTAGATTAAGTTAATTGTGTTGGTCAAAGCAGCAGTGAAGTAAATTCAGCAGAAAGGTTGGTGGCCATCCCACATATTCTGCAGCTGTGAAGGTATTGTTAGGGATGCAATGCTACTTTCTTTCTTTTGCTCCACACGATAAACATACAGATCCCCCCTCAGAAATGGTTGCCTTTTGAATATATATATTGTGTATTCCTTTGAGAAATGTCTACAAGGAAACCAATCAGCTATTATTTATAGCGAGTGGTATTCATACCCTTCCCTCCCCTCCCACACTGAGAAACAGCACAACGATAGCTCGCTGCAGTTTGTTTTGAGAGGTTGCTTCCTTTTCAAGTGGTTTCAAGTTGAAGTGTTCTTTATTTATTTGTCATTCCTGTTTGATGTGTTCCTACTGGAAGGGCAGAGATAGAAGCACCTTTGATATGCAGATTCTCTGTTATAGGAGCGGCTGCTCACTACATTCTCGTGAATGTTTGCCATGACTTATTAATGACCTACAGGTTAAGTCTGTGAAAGTATTGCACAATAATGTCACGTTGATTGGGTTAATATAGTCATAATGAGGCAAAATCATCTGTGTCCAGAGGGTTGAGTGATTCATGTTGTGAATTTGATTTCCTCAATGACTTTTCAGTGCTTAAAATAAGGGCACAATGAGAATGTGTTACATACATGGTTCATATTTATTTGATGGAGCCATTGCTAAGAAAAGGGAACTGAACCATGCTGTGTGATACAGTAATCATTGTGGCAAAGGAAGATTTTAGTCTCAAAATTATTTAAGTAGTTAAATAATAAGTAGTTCAGCCAAATAAGGGCAAGTAGTTCAGCCAAATGTCTGTCAATCACTTACCCACATTCATGTTTTTCCAAACCTGTATGAATTTATTCATTTATTTTCCAATGCAAAATGAGTTGTCTGGGGTGCATGTTGCATACGCTGAAAAAAAATAAGTGTAGTAAAACAGTTTTCACTCAGAAATTGTAAATGTAAAAAATAATTAAAAAGAAATGTCAAGCAACACATTGAATTAAACATTAAATTTAAGACTCTAGTAATACATATTGTAACAAAGTTCGTAGCTCAGGGAAGAAGGAGGCGGGAACCGGTGAACATTTAAACATAAAACTTTAATAAAATAAACAAACATAAAACGAAAGTAAAAGCGGCAGCCCCTCACGGACGACTGCCGCATAAAACATAATAAAACAACAACATAAATAGTACAGGCCTGGTCCTCTCTCGTCTTTCACTGTCGCGCTCCTCCTTTTATCCTTCCGGAGCTCCTCCGTGGGACTCGAGACCGGTGAGTGGCGCAGGTGTTGGTCATTATAATTTACTCCACCGGCCTCGCTCTGTTCCCACAGTTCTCGGCCCCCCCCACTCGTCACACACACACACACACACACACACACATATATATATATATATATATATATATACTGTATATATATATATATAGTAATATATATAGCCATGTCACCCTGTAGCCCAAGACTGTTTGCCCACTGAAACTAAACAGGGTTGAGCCTGGTAAGTACCTTGATGGGAGACCTGGGACAACTAGGTTACTGCTGGAAGAGGTGTTAGTGAGACCAGCACTGGGTGCTCATCCTGTGGTCTGTGTGGGTCCTAATGCCCCAGTATATTGATGGGAACACTAGATGAGACATTAAAACAAGGTCATTAAAAATCCCAGGATGTCCTTTGTAAAAGAGTAGGGGTGTAACCCCGGCATCCTGGCCAAATTCGCCTATTGGCCTCTGTCCATCATCATGGCCTCCTAATCATCCCCATATACTGATTGTCTTCATCACTCTGTCTCCTCTCCACCAATAAGCTGGTGTGTGGTGGGCATTTGGGCGTTATATGGCTGCCGTCGCATCATCCAGGTGGATGCTGCACATTGGTGGTGGTTGAGGAGATTCCCCCCTTCCATGTTAAGCGCTTTGTGTACCCAGAAAAGCGCTGTATAAATGTAACAAATGATCTATCTATCTATCTATCTATCTATCTATCTATCTATCTATCTATCTATCTATATATATATATCAGGCAGCAGATCCTTTAAAGGTGCAGTAGGAGATCTCAGTAAATGCTAACTTTAGCCTGATAGCACTGAAAGCGAATGTCCTACCCTCCCTGTAATCGCCGACCAAAGCCATGTCCCCTGAATGCAACATTACTACAATATAGTACAACATTACTACAATACATCATGTATCATTCACCGGTGAGAAAACTTTATAGCACAGTTAGTAAAAGTATTATAATACCAGGAAGGACGATCAGGTTGTTGATTTTTGATGTTGATGCCATTCTCGCTTTGTCTGCACAGCGTGCGTGAACGTGCTGATTATGTATCGTGTCTGCGCGAACAGGGTGGATGAACATTTCTTGGTCCTACACCTTCCACGGGATATATAAATACATATAAATAAATTTAGACCACTTAACTTAATGATTGCTATCGGGATGTGAAGATGTTCAACCAGCACAACAACTAAATTTTCTGAAGACAATCACCTATTGCACCTTTAATTCCTGTAGGTTGCGAGGTGGGGCCTCCATAGATCAGACTTGTTTGTTCAGCACATCCCACAGATTCTCGATTGGATTGAGACCTGGGGAATTTGGAGGCCATGTCAACACCTCAAACTCATTTTTGTGCTCCTCAAACCATTCCTGAACCATTTTTGTGGTGAAAAGAGGCCACAGCCACCAGGGAATGCTGTTTCCATCATGAAAGGGTGTACATGGTCTGCAACAATGCTTAAGTAGGTGGTACGTGTCACAATGCTTAGGTAGGTGGTAAGTAATACCCACATGGATTGCAGGACCCAAGGTTTCCCAGCAGAATACTGGTTTACGTGAAGATCTTTTTATGTTCACTTAAATTAGAAGTGGCTATTTTTTAAAGTCTAATAAATGTTCAATTTGATTGCTCTCAATTATACTGTAATGTTAAATGGCTGTAGTCAATGGTTAAATATTAGGAAAAAAATCCTAGAGACATCATTAGTATTGGTATCAGTGATACTTTTTATGACTGATGCCTTCATTCATAAAAATAGATGCCATTAAACAAATATTAAAAATATATTGTCTTTATGTTGTTTCTACATTCGTTTGAATATTGAATGTGAAATTATTGCAATATAAAAGTATATTTAAAAACTTTATTGTTAGGTGGGATTAATCATGATTAATTTCAGAAAAAATTTTGCAATTAGTAATTTTTTTTAATCGATTGACAGGGGCCGCAGGGTTTGAGAGCGCCGATTCCACCGGGATGTCAGCCGCTTGCACTGACATCATTGGTGGATCCACAACACTGGTCATTAGTCTTATCTGTCTAGGCCCAAGCTCTGCATCCACTGGAACTTGGGTACTACAACTTCTCACCTACTTTTTTCCTGATTTACAGAAAATGTCCTAATGATAAGTAGATTGTCATGCTAGCAGATTCAAAACAGCATGTGTGCCTGTTAAAGCACATGAAATGAGCTCCATTCCTTCAGTGGTATCACGAAGAGAATAATGTAGTATGAGTCAAGGCACACATTATTTCAGCGAGATAATCCTAGGCTCCCACAGTTACCCCATCATCGCCATGGGAACTGCTGTCTGAGAGGAGGGCACCCTCGATTGACATGCTCACCCTCAGATCCAGGCAGTTTCGTTTCTTGATATGCATGATATGATCTTGGTTTTTCTGAGGTTAAACCATGCATCTCATCAGTAGAAAGCAGCGTTTTTTAAATATATATTAAATATGCATGATAAAATAAGTTCATATTCAAATTTGTTGAATAATACCACCATTAGGGGTTTTCCAAAAGCAGAGAAATACTCCAAAGTTGAATTTTAGTATTTTTATGGTTTGCATTTCAGCATCCTAATGTCTGTCTTTTGGTCTTTTCATCTATCTGTCAAACTATTAAATGATATATTACATACATATTACTGACAGTAGTCCTGTAGTCACCAGCAGATTTGAACTTGATTCTATTTGTAATGAATTTGATTTGGGTGTGTAATGAAGGGTATATGGAAATTGTATATGAACAGACAGATTGTGGCTTTATATGAATGGCTGATTGTGAATTGAAGGCAACTATTCAAAGTGAAAAAAAATATATTAATACATAAAACAATGATTTATACGTTTTGCCAGAACTGAAATATTCAATCATGTTTCAACTGTACCAGACAGAAGATATGTGCTTCCTGTTCAGTGTTTAGAGTGAAAAACACTCCATTGTCAATAAGTAAGCAAGCAGTATTTTATGGAGATTATGCTGCAGGATATCCATCTATGAGTGCAAGTCTCCGCTGGTGCTCTTGAACCCCTGGGGAGTCGTTGAAGCTTAATCATGCTTCAGTGCCTCCCTAAAATGTCCTAAGACATTTTAACATCCATGTACATGATGTTATCTTTTGTTCTTGCCATTTATTGTGGTTTACTGGAATGTATTCTAAATTAGGAAATAAAATCGTATGCATTCTTGTTAGAATAGTCCACATAATATTAAGGAATGCAATGTCATTAAAGTTTAGGTTCTCTGATTACTTTACAAATTCAGTTTACTCTCTTTAGATGTAAATTTGCAACATGGTCACCAGCATCATATTTTTCTTCAGAGTTCATATAATTTAAATAATAAAATTACCACAAGATTTATCATCAGTTTCACTTATAGTACAATGTTTACTTACTGAAATATACTTTTCCTACTTTGTTTCATTTCAGGTGTTCCTGCTCTTTTTGTTGCTGCATGGGCAGTTGTCAGGGCAATGCTGGCAGATGCAAGGTGATTTCATGTTTTCATCCTCACAGACTTGACCTCATGTCCTAATCATCTTTGTAGAAATGAAGTCACCAAGGAATTTAGTATGATTAAAATATAATATGTCTACTGTATGTTTTGGCATTTTGATAATTTTACTAGTTTTTATTTTGTAATAAGAGGTGCCACCCTTTCAAACAAACAGCCATGGTTGCAAAGTAGATTGAAAAAGTTTAATGCCAGGGGAAAATACTGTATTAATAAAAATGTTTTTTTTACTGTTTTTTTGCTAGCTTTGAACTAGCCAAATAAAAAGTGTGCATTAAAATGGTCACAGTATTGTTTCATTTTAAATTCTCAACAAAAATAATGAATATATCATAAATATTTGCACCTCCCTATAGTTCAAGTCTTAGTCCTCATTGATAATGTGACGACGCAGAGCTAGTGCTAGTTTGAAACTAGTTAGATCAGTTAATGTTTGTCTTGGATCTGTAAATGTTTGTGTTCTTATGCTAAAACACCACTGCAGTGTTATCACTAGATCATCTTAATGAAGTAGTGTTTTCATGTACACTGATGTGGGATCATGCCAAAGGCGTTATCTTTTCTCTGTTTTATTTTCAAACACTTGCTGAATGTCATTGTCTTTCTCCCCTCGAGAGCACAATTAGTATTCTTGCAGCTTACAGGCTGTTAGTGATATTACAAAAGCAAATGTCTTCAAGCAACATCTTGCTGCTTCTGTGGGGAGAACATAAACATATGGTTTTGTTTTAGCTGTAGTCTTTCTTTTTTTACTGGTGTTGTTAAGGTGGCCTAGTTTATCTTATCACAAATTTGATCTTTTATCTTTTGTGTATCTTAAAAAAATAAGAAACAAAGAAAAAAGTCACACACTGCATAATATGATTTAAGGGGTGTCATATCTACAGGTATCATATGAAATCAGTTAATCTTTTGAAATATTAGGAAATATCACAAATTCATTGATCTTTTGTAAAAAGTTTCAGAACTGAAAACTTAATCTGTGACATGTTCAGCAATTAGGGAAGCATTTAATAATCTCTAAATGGCACAAAAATATATACAAAGTATAAAGAACAAGGAAAACAGGAGATCTTACATGCACTTAAAGGAAAAACAGGTTAAAGGGGTCATATGATGCTTTTTTAAAGATCATTATTTTGTGTATTTGGTGTAACAGAATATGTTGACATGCTTTAATGTTCAAAAAACACATTATTTTTCAAATACTGTACATTATTGTAGGTCCTCTATGCCCCGCCTCTCTCAAACGCTTCGTTTTCTACAAAGCCCCTCCTTCCGACAAGCGCAGTCTGCTCTGATTGGCCAGCTGACCCAGTGCATTGTCATTGGCCGAACACCGCAAGCACTCGTCGGAAATGTAACGCCCCTTACATTTAAAAATCTAAAGACAGAGCCCGAAAGGGGAACAGAGTCTTGTGACAGACACAGTGATGAATATGTGTTTGCAGTACACAAGCCACGGTTAAGACAGCTGACTCCACTGTGATGTGTCTCTCTCTCTCTCTCTCTCTCGCTTGCGCACGCACACACACACCGCTCTCTCTCTCGCTCGCGCGCGCGCTCACACACACACACCGCTTTCTCGCTCTCTCTTATGGGAAGCCAAACAACCCAAATGTGGGACGAAACGGCGCGGTATTCAAGTGTTCGCGACCGACTCGACAGCGCAGAGAGGACGTGTTTACTAGCGCCACCGAGCTGACAGCACGGCGCGGATCAGTTACAAAAGCGCAGCGCGAACATTACTCTTATTCTTCTTCATGTTTTAAGGCAGGTACCGCCACCTACTGTGCGAACATTACTCTCCGCAGAAGTTCGTGTTTTTTTCCTGCACATAACATAATGAGTTATTACATTTCTTTTGCTTATTATCTTTCATATTACTACATGTAAACAGTAGTGTTAGCTACTTTGAAGCACGTATAGCCTATATTTAGTAGTCACGTTCACAGCAGAAACTTCCATTATCCTCTTAGAATTCAAATATTTTATGGTTTCGTTCATCAAGGCATATTTAAGTAAATTTTACATTTAAGGATATTTGTGTAACTGTAGCATATGATTATGCTTGAAAAAAAAGAGTAAAATGTAAAAACAAAAATGTTCCCTTATGGAAATACGGAAACTAACAATGGTTTTACTATAGTAAAAGTGCAGTAACCATGGATTGATTGTCATTTATTTTAACCCACAACTACAAATGTATGGTTAGGGTTAGTGCCATAAAATCATGGTTAATTTGAATGTGTTTTCCGATAAACCTAAAACACAATGCCACACACACACACACACACACACACACCGCTCTTTCTCTCTCTCTATCTCTCTCGCTCGCTCGCGCGCACGCACACACACACACGATGCGCAAAACTCCGCATTTGAACAGTCAATAGCAAATACTTAAACTAATAACAAAACAGTAGCTGATTCTGAATTACCTCCTCTCCTAGGTTCACGAAATGGTCGTCCATAAAATGCATTGCTATTCTGTTGTAAGTAATCTTAAAGATTCCTAAATGCATCTACTTTCTGGAAGGCCAAATAAAGTGCTTTTGCTTTCACCTAGAAACACACAGCGTCTCCCTGACATGGTTGCTTCAACACTAACTGCGGTTACTGAAACCACGCCTTCTTTCTTTGCGTGAACATTTGGGCGCATTATGCAAATATTTCCACATAGTGAGGTAGATATGTGGGGGCGTGTTAGAACGAGCCGTTTTAGGGGGGTGTGGCAGAGTCTTAACTTTGATAAAGAATATCTCTTTGGTTTTGAGACTTTAGTCTTTGCAACTTCAGGGATCGTATCTATGCACAATCAGCTTGTAACACTCCAAAGAAAAAGGAAAACTTGAAATCGCATCATATGACCCCTTTAACAAGACTAATTAACTAGACGTACCTGGAAACGAGAAGAATACTCAGTAAATACAAAATACGTTTCTAAATAGTTTTTTTTTTTAAATGGCCCATTTAATTTCAAGGGTGAAAGTGAGGAAGAAAAATGCTTTGATAAAGAATATCTCTTTGGTTTTGAGACTTTAGTCTTTGCAACTTCAGGGATCGTATCTATGCACAATCAGCTTGTAACACTCCAAAGAAAAAGGAAAACTTGAAATCGCATCATATGACCCCTTTAACAAGACTAATTAACTAGACGTACCTGGAAACGAGAAGAATACTCAGTAAATACAAAATACGTTTCTAAATTGTTTTTTTTTTAAATGGCCCATTTAATTTCAAGGGTGAGAGTGAGGAAGAAAAATGGTAATAAATAAATTAAAAAATAAAATAGTTTTGGGGCAAGAAAAACTTTGACTTAGGTCTCTTGGGGAAAATAATATATGATTTGTGCACGTGCATAACTCACAAGATGGTCTTTTCTATGCTTTGTAGATTATATTTAGTGTGATTTTTGTGCAAGTCCATACTTTTCAATACATTTCCTAAAATTTTTTACTTAAACTTATGCAAGAGTTCTGAAGAGCAGGGATAATTATTTTTTCTTTTTGCACTTTCAGTTCTGAAGCAGCAAAGTTTTGACGTTTTTTTTCCCCTCATTCCAGGATTGTTCTGAGCAGGGTTTCTTTCATCAGTGAACGTTAAACCCCACTCCATTCACATACTGTGTTCCAGTCTGTGTGTTTCTTGACTTCGTTTGGAACTATTTTACAGAGTGAAAATAAAGTAGTTTTTTTTTTTTTTTTTTAAATAGAATACCGCTGACCAAATTATTAGAAAATAAACTAACTGTTGAATAATCTATAATTGTGGGCTATGTGAATATTCAGAATTCTGGCTCTATTTGTCACATGTACTTTATAGAACTTTATCAATTATAAATCATAAATGAACAAACATTTGAAGAACAATTACTGTTAAGTATTTTCAGTAATATAAATAATCTAAACTAAAATATAGTAAATCAAGAATGTTTCAGAGAACAAAACAAGAATAATTGCTTTTTAATATGCTCAGTGGCTTTTTAATTAGACTTTTGCAACTTTTAATTAATTTTAAATGTCTAGCTGGTCTTCTATTCAGCCGTTCATTTAGGGATGGCAAAAAGTGAGCTCTGTCATGAATCTTGAGATTTGTCAGTTCTGAGTAATGGTGGTTAATGGCTTTCTGCATGATCATAAGATGGTCCACTCTGGAAAAACAAATGTTAAGAAGATTATTGATATCCTCAAGCTTTTCTGATCTGCATTCTGGTATCTTAACTGGTAGCACTAACTGTGCTGAGGTCATGAGTTTGATCCCCAGGGAAGGCATACTGTATACTGATAAAACCTATACCTTGAATGCATCACACTGAGCAAATGTAAATATTGTAGATTTAAAAAACAACAACACTTTGGTTACTATCGTGACCTCGGTTCCCTGAGATAAAGCAATGAGCATTGCGTTGCACGCTTAAGGGGGTAAACTCCTGTTTACTCTGATACTGAAGCCTGATTTATTCACGTTTGTGTAGCTGCACGAACAAATGGCGCTTCAACCCGCCAAAAGGTGTGGAGCCGACTGCTATATAAGTCGTCTCAAAGCACCATTCATCCAAATCTTTCGACTGATAGTGATAGAGACTCATCAACACACGTGCAGCCTTATAGCACGGCAGCTTACGCAACACTCGTTCCCTTATCTCAGGGAACCACGGTCACAATAGCAACTGGAGCATTCCCTTTTGAACGGTTTCTCCCATTGCATTGTATGCAATAGTGGGGGGATCCAATAGTGCCGTGCTATAAGCAAGTGCAGAACAAAGCCGCTCTGCGAGCCCAGCCCCAGAGGGCTGCAAGGATGGCTCCTAAAAGCATGAGCCAAATATGAGACCCAAGCCAACAGGCTGGGGTCCACATAACAAAACCTTCTCCACTAATCTAGGGGATTAGGTAAATTAAGCGAACAAAATCTGTGACTGAAGGGCAGGAACATCCAGGTTATAAAATCTGGTGAAGGTAGACGGCAAAGAC